TCTGGAGGTGGAACTGCAGGGCGTATATCGGGTCCGTGGAGCCGCGCTGGTGGTGGAGGTAGACGACGTTCTCCCCGGTTGTATTGCGTCTTGGTGGATGGCAGAATCAGCGCGTAAGACATCGTGTGGGGGGAAGGTCTGTGGAACGCGGAGCGTTTTGGTGTTCGGATGAGACCCGAGTTCTGTGCCGATGGGAGCACTTCGCCTGCTCGGAGCTGACCCCAGAACAGGACGCAGGCAGCCGCGTAAACCGCTGAATCAAAGGAAGACTCGAAGTTCAGTGTTTTGTGTAGGCAGCGCAGCATATCGCGGGTTACTGGTACACGTGCCGGTTTGCGGGAACTCTTCGGTCGGAGGTTCTCTACGCCTTTGACTGTGTATTGGAGCCGCGTCCCTCCCAGCCATGGTGCGTTCTGAGCGGTGTGCCAGGCCTTCAACGCCGCTATCCAATTCCGTGCAGTGCCCCCTGCGAGCTGGCCGGCGCCCTTGGCGACAAACGCGCATAGAGCTAATTCTTGCGCCGGGAACTGGTCGACTTCCGGGATGCGTTCTGAGACGCAGAACTTGATGTACCTCTCCACTACTGCGCTATAACCCTTCAGGGTGCTCGATGCCCAGCCTGCTTTGATAGTCTTTTCTAGCTGGACCAGGGTTGGCTTCGACAGGGTGATTTGGCGAGGGTTGTGGTGGAATGTTGCGGCCGCCAAGCCCGCGCCCGGCCGGAAGTGAGTTGGGGCGCGTCTGTGAGTGAGGGGCTTTGGGGCCCCGGGGATGTGTGCAGACGGCGGCGTGTTCTGAGTATAAGTGCGTGATGCTCTCGCCGTCCTTGTGTGCGACATGCTGGGGACAAGGGGGAGTGCGCTTGCCGCCTGGTTAGCCCGAGTGTGGCTGTGCCTGAGAAATCGGTGTGACCATATCTGCAACGAGTCTATGCTACTCTATGCCTTCAAGAAATACAAGAGAACGGAGTTGCAAACTGACTTCACACGAAGCCATATGGTCTTTTTGGGTCGAGGGTTGGGGGGAAGAGCCTTAATATCCTGAATGAAGCGACCGCACACGCAGTTGCCTGCCACCACCCCGGGGCCATCACCCCCAAACCAGTGGGCGCAGGTGCCGCGACCCCTGGTATATCCCTCTACCAGTGTCTGGAACCTTTGTGTGGACGTATATGCTAAACGCTGTGAGTCTTTCTTCGTATAGCTATAGAGCAAGGTACCTCTGTACTGAGCCGCTTCCGACCCATCTTCATAAGCAATCGAGCGCTCGAAGTCGATTTTTACAATCATTTCCGGTTCTTGTGACCTCCTGAGCGAGCACATCTCCTCAACAACCTGACGGTCTGTGACGAGGGGGTTAGCGGGCGCTTGAGAGAGTGAGACGCCTCAGAGAAAGGACGACGCACTTGAGCGAGGCATGGGTGTGGCCGGTAAAGAGAAGGAGGAGGCGCAGGTCGCCGTTGTGTTTTCCTTGGACTGTTGCTAGCCGACGTCTAGCGGTACTGCGCATTATTGCGTAAAATTGTAACGTAATGAGAGGGGAATGTTCCGTCTGTCTTGAGGAAGGGGAGGACCCGCCTCGCCCCTTCTATTCTGTGCTCGCACTTTAAGTCAGGGCCAAAATAATTATATTAACTCTGGTCTGACTATTAGCGAGGAAATGCAGTAAGGAATTTTAAAGGTAGCCGAAGAGCGTGGCATGTCTGTGAGAGGAATGCCCCGCGAAGGGGGATCTGCCTTGTTCTCCGCCGACGGGACATAACGAGGGGTAATCCATATCGAATGTGCCCGCATTAGGGTCACGATCCGCTGCAAAACGCGGTTGTGCTCGAGGTTCCGGGATTTCCCGGCCTCTAGCGCGCCTATGACGCTCTGGTTGTCCGATCGGATGATCAGGTGGAGGCCGTTCAAGCCTCGCTGCAGGGCGAGGCGGAGGCCGAACTCGATTGCCACCATTTCCGCCCATCCGATTTTCCGCGCCTCTGACCGCCAGCCCGGCGCGAGTTGCCATCGCGTCCCATTCGCCATT